TCTGAGATCCTTTTGCTAGAATTCTGTTTCCTTGCTGGAAGCACTTGAAGCAAAGCTGCCCGACTCCCCAGTCTGTATTTAATGATCATCGTATGTTGCTTGGGATGAGGGAATTGAACTCTAGATGAAAATAATCATGTTGATTCTGTCATTTGCAGAAGACCAATTGTCAAATCTGGTGCTGAGGGTTTTTCTTTAATGACAATTTCATTTATTTAACTTACCAAAATTCCATTAAAGTTTCAGAGCTCTTTAAATTACAAATATGAAGAGATCCAAGACAGCAGACAGGAGGCAGGTGCCGACTTCCTGTTATTTTGCTGCCCACATATAGAAGGGAGCGTAAAGATAAGAACATCCAATGTTATCTGAAATATAAACCTATTCAGGGATGACAGATCAGGATAAAATAATTTCTGAGCTTGAGGACCTTTTGTGGATGTTTTGCCGTCTGTGCATTCACATGTAAGTTAGTATCAATACCTCAACTGCTTACAGTAGCCATGATGTTGTGGACAAAGCAGAGCAGTCTCAATTTTTTTGCCATCTGACCTATTAGAAACATAAAATTGCTTCCATGTTCTGAAGTGCCATCATGCTGTAAGTGCTGTAAGTGCTGTCAGGCTGGGTTTGTAGGATGTCTAGCTGTAGAAGACACTGCAGTTCTCCTGTTTTGAAAAAAAAGATGATGTAAACAGGTGCTGCAGTGCTTATTCTTTCATCTTTCTTCCCTAGTGTAAAACATGAAAGATGATGTTGGTGACTAAGGATTTTTTTTTTTTTCTGTATGGCTTATTTCTAGGTATTTTCTTCTTAAATGACACCTTACGTCACTGTTCAGTTTGAGATGAGAACTTATATTGAGTAAGCGAGTCTGGAGAAGTTTCTCCTATCTTTTAATTTGCAGCCTAAATCATACTTGGGAATAGCAAAAAAGTTTGTATCCTTTAAGTCTTTTGAGTTAGTGTTTAAACTGCCCTTCTTGTTAAAACACATTTAAAATTTTGGTTCATTTGACCAAATACATCTGAATCGTAGCTTTTCTCAAGGATCTTGGGAAAATCAAAGGTTAACTTTACCCCATTGTAGAGTTCCGAAGCTAGGTCTTGCAAGAGTTCTCGCTATCACTTATGTTTAAAACCAAGCATTTTCTTGTAAACATGAAGAAAAACAACAACAAAAAGTTTTGCTGAGGACTGTTACATTGCTGGGTATGTATTTTGTTACCTACTCAACCATGGATTCAGCAGTGAGATTTACCATGGTAAACCTGGCGTGGTGTACCTTGCTGATCCTCTAGAGGTGTATATCAGACTGCGCTATCGACACAAGTGCACGTTGCGAGGTGCCTGAAGAGCAGACCTCTTCTGAGCAACAAAACCAACATATTTTTGAAGACTGAAGAAACAATAGCTTGTGCTGTTGCTTTTTGGTTACACTCTACTGCTCCTGTGGCTCTTTAATCAGAACAGCGGAGCCGCCAGTTCATTTGTGAGTATGGTTCCTCACTTCAGAACTTTGAAGCGTGTCAGCAATTATTCTTGTCCTCTCGTAGCACTTGCCACCAGCACCTGAGCTTCAGCGGAAGAGACGAAGCCAAGGGAATGTTTTTTAAACTGCCAAGTTTTTCTTCAGCTCCTTCATTCTCGGCGCACTTCTGCTCTCAGCTGTGTTAGGCTTATCTGGGACCCTCTTCTAGTTTGCATTTCTGTTTCTGTCTTCATCTTATGTGTCTGAAAACTAGGTTGTCAGTTTCCTGAAGTTGTTTCTTGACAGAAGGCTGCCAGTGGGTCACTGTGTTTAGAAGATCAGGTACCAGCCCATTTTTACTTAAATCCACATACCTTTTCTTCCCTATATGTGAGTCCTCCTTATGAGACACTGGCTGGAGCAGGAACAGGATTTTTTCAATTAGTAGTTGTAGATGACTTTTTGAAATGAGCAGTTGAGGAAAATTTTGTGTGTACTTGATCATGTATTTTTTAAATTGTTCAATGAGGAGTTCAATTTTCACCTATTGTCTGGTTTGCCTTATGCCTTCACTTACTCCGCAAGACTGGTTTGTGTCTATGCTGTGCATTTTTCAAATGCCTGTTCAATGAGTACCAAAATTGCACTCCTCACAGGACCTACAGTATTACTTCTTAGGATATTCAGGCTTGTATCCCAGGAATGCTTTCAGTGTATTGATATGTGAAGGCTGCCTTCTGAGTATAAACAAAGGTAGGGCTTTTGTACTCCCAAAGTTAACACAGTTTCTTGGGAAGACAATAGTCTGCTTGTATACTTACAGGGATAGCCCTACACAGTATTTTCTTGGGCTCATTTTGGACTCTGTACTGATCAGATATTTTGTCCTCTTTTGAATAGTTCTAGAAATTCACAAAAAAATAAGAGTTTCCTTAGAAAGTTTTTGAAAGCAGTGAGCATTCTCTTGCAGAGCATAGTTTTGTGACCTTCTGGGTGTGAAGTCTTTATCTCCAAGGCTGGAAGAGATCATGACTTCCACCAAGGGTGGTTTGTTGTGACCTGATTGGAGTTTCGAGAGCTGTGTTTTAAGTGGACTGTAAAAATACGCCCTACAAATACTAGTAAGTCTTAGAGCATGGACTAATGGTCTTTCTTAAGTCTTTGACTTAAGTTTTGTGAAGGTGTTTTCTACGTTAGTTTTATGCCATATTAATTACTATATGATGACTAAGTGTAGCTTTATTGTAGGCTTGGTTTTTAAAAATAAAAAACAAAATTCAGAGTTCCCTCACCCTTTAAAACTACGGTGTAAAACGGTTCTGTTGCATGGGGCGATAGAGACTGTGGTTCTTCTTTTAGGTATCTTCTTAAGAAGAGAGAGATGTGAAGCAAACTGGAAGGAAGCCAGGCACTCTGTTACTAACACAGTGCAGAGTCTGATGCAGGGTAGTGAATTCTCATTGTGGCTCTACAAAGCGTTAATGAAGTTCTAATTTAAAAAGCAAACAGAAAACCTCCACATTGCACCATGGGGACCCAACACATTTTATCACGTTGTATTGTGACTAATATTAATATTGTTAGTTAACAAGCTTTCTTGAGATCTAGGAGTATTATGGCAACAAGTTTGTGTGGTGCTTTTTTTTTTTTTCCAAGGCTGCCTAATGTTTCTCAGTACCTCCAAACGGAGGAGCAGTGAAATGGAATGATCTGAATTACCTACAGCTACCTACTTTCAGCAGATTAAAAAATGAAATACATTTTTGCTGAGTGAAAAATAATTACAGTATCTCAGTTTAAACCATTGTTGCTTTTGGTGTGGTGTTTTGGTTCTTTTTCTTTTTACTTCAAAGCTGGGACACAGAAACTGCCGTGCCAAAGGATAGAAGCATAACTGGATCATTTTGAGAGTGGCCAATATTCGTCTTCAGAGGAAAATGAAGCTTAACAGAACTAAGGCCACTTTACTTCTCACTGAGAGATTCCGCACGGGGGTTTAATGGGATTTATCTAACATACTTAAAATTCATACCATTAATTATTTTGGCTTAACTTTCTCTCGTGACCCCACATAGACAGGATCTAAGTGACTGTATTCCTTTCCTTATATAAATCCATTGTCAGTATTGACTGTATGTAGGTAATTTTCCAGTACTGATGTTTATACATAGGACATTCTGCTTGTGCTCTAGCACCTAGTTATTTTAAAATATTAAATGTGATGGCATAATCCAAGCATATAGAAAAACAGATGGATTTCATCTTCCTTTTTCTCCTGGGATGGGGCTAAGAAGTTCCTGTGCTAGTTTGCCGTTTTGATATGGTGTGTTTTATTTTTGTGAGACCTAGTTACTTGTTGTTTCTGTAGTTTATAAAATTTTTTTTTTAAAAAGGTAAAACAAGTTTAGGGTTTCACCACTATAAATTATGTTCTATGTGGTAAACATTAATATATTATAAAAATGTGCTGTTTAAGAAGTTTAGCTTATTATAACTCTTTCTGTGTGTTTTTAGTGCTGGAATAACTTTTCTGAAGTAGTACTACTGGGGAAGTGAGGAAGCCGTTGTTTGTTAAAACTTGTGTCAGCCTAACCTACAACCTCATATAGTGAATTGGCCCAATCATAATTTTCATTGCAGTATGGTGTCAATAGGGTGCTTTTCAACTGCCTGTTCTCATTACTGAAGTTTGCATTTCTCTGAGTTCAGGCTTAACCTGTTTTCTGGGTTTGTAGAACATGGACAGTACTTGATTCTCTCCTGGTCTCTTCCTGTGGCTCATGGAAACTTGGTGCAGCGTGGTATGAGAGAAGACTTCTGTTACAGGATGCTTGGGACTGTTTGGTGGTGGGCAGGCTGGGTATTCCTGTGGGCCTTTCTGCATAATGGCTATTGTGCAATGGCCTGACTCACTGGTACAAGTGGTTTGTCTTTGTAGGCCAAATAAAATTGTTTATTTTGTGGTAACAGCTAAGTGGCTCATCGATGGACTATAACAACAGCTACGTGTGTATTAAAACTGCGCCCCAAGGAGTTCACTATGTTAAATATTTTTTGTGTGGCTTGTCAAGGTTTCACCATCAGGTTTTCATTTACAAGTTCTTTGCCAATGCTTTTTAAAACAAAAAGTGATAGAGGCGTTTCAGTTAACTTTGTGCATGAGTAAACTATCCTCTGTGTAGTTTGAAGAAGCATCACCTAGAAAGCATCCCTGTTTAGGCTGAGTTCTATTTTGTAATTTGTGTCTACATTTGCATAGGCCCAGAAACAGTGAATCCTCTGAGAGCGCTAGAAACGCGGAGCCCTTCTTGCTCTGTTTTTCAAGGTTGAGTTTTCCATGTTAGTTCGTGTTGAAAGATTAAAGCACAAATCGTGTTACAGATGACACATTTGCTGCTTTTACTTTTACAGGTCCAATGATGCACCAGCAGCCTCCCTCCCAGCAATACAACATGCCGCAAGCGGGCGGCCAGCATTACCAGGGGCAGCAGCCACCGATGGGAATGATGGGCCAGGTCAACCAAGGAAATCACATGATGGGGCAGAGACAGATTCCTCCATACAGGCCGCCGCAGCAAGGTAGGACTTCAATTCAGTGTTTCTGTATTGATTTTACATAACCGTCTTCAAAACTATTTTGATTCATTTTCCTGGTTACGCTAAACTTCAGTCAAATCATTGGGTGTCACAGACTTGGGTAGACTCTTTTTGTTATCCTTTTAAGGGTGGTTCTTGCACCAACAGATTACTGGTATCACCATGAAACGTGAAGAGAAGTATTTCTTTTGTTTTCAGTTCTTTCTGACAAAAAGTATCTAAAATTATGCATCTCATGCTGATGCAGAATTCTGTTTCGATATTTAAATGGTAGGTACAGAAGAGGAACAGAGTACCTGCTTGGTTCTGAATTCACTCAGTTACAAAAAAGGAACAATATCCCACAATCTTGCTTCTCTTTATTTCTATTTTTTTTTTTTGACCAGTCCTTTTAGAAAAAGAATAACTTTTTTTTAACACCTTAGTCTGTTATACAAATGCTTCTAAAATGAGCTCAAAACTGAAGTTTGATATATATATGTGCTCAATCTAGTGCAGCCAAACTACTGTGTGTATGTCTGTATAGATACGTATGTATTTGTTTTTAAGTAAACCAGGTTACATATATTGTCTGGAATGCAACGATTTGGGTGGGGAGTACATTTGAGAAATACTTCTCATACTAAAATCAGAAATTAGCAGGCTTTATAACAGAGAAAACAAGTTATTTACGTATTGACTGGTTGTGGTTTTTCAGGCCCACCACAGCAGTACTCAGGCCAGGAAGACTATTATGGGGACCAATACAGTCATGGTGGACAAGGTCCTCCAGAAGGCATGAACCAGCAATATTACCCTGATGGTAATCTCTCATAAATGTTAACTTTCCCATTTTCTATACCTGCCCAATACTAATGTAGTCATATGCCCAAAATTAGGGAATGAGGCAAGAATAGTAATTGGATGTCATACCTCATGCTTACAAAACTGTCCCAGTTCAGAATTGTTACTATAGTTTAAGTTACTGTGACTAGTTAATTTTACAATTTACTCAAAGCTTGTAGTTTGTAATACTCCCATTTGAAACTCTTAACAACAGTTTTAGTATTTCAAAATGAAGTTCTGTAATTGGTTTATCTAAAAGTATGGAGGGTTCCTTAGCATATGTAGTATAATTGAGATGAAGTAAAACAGTCACAACGTTATTATAAGTAATAGAGGGGGCAATATCCTTTTATTAAAGATTTTACTGAAGTGAGAAAACTTGATAAAAAGATGTGGGTTTTCTAAAAATACTCTGGTTTTTAACTTAATGTTTAATTTTCATATAAGTAGCACAAATGTGTTATTACTGCTATGGTATGGGCCTTTAGTTTAATTTCTACAAAGGAATAAAGTGGTCCCTGCCCTGAGGAGACTGTAATTGTGAATCCTCTTTACAAGTCCCCCCAGTGCTTTCAAGAAAAGACCGAAACTTTGAATTTCATAAATCTGTCCTCCCACCTATTGGAATTTAGAGTGGTGAAGACTACTGGACTGTGTTATTAGTTAGAAAAGTTGCAATTAACCTGTTTTTAGGCTGAGCAGAGATTGGGAGAACAAAGATGCTGAGACATGACTACTGTGATAACCATGTGTGCAGCTTAATGGCATCTTACGAAGTTGACGGAGCGTGGTAGATGTTGATGTTTTAAAAATGTATACAAAGCAAAGCTGGGTAATTGCCAAAGCAACTACTCATTGCAAGTTAAAGGATAGAAATGAGTTGTTTTGAATTTTAATTTCTATGAAATTGATTTGTAAAATACATCAAACCATGTCTGTATAAGCTTGCATGTGGTGTTTTTTTGGAGATACACGTGCTCAGTTATTTTACAATTGCATTAACTCATAAATATTAAGCTTTTGTTCTGGAAATTTTATGTTCTATACAAACTTTAAATGGTTACAGTCAATTTGCTGTAGTAAGGGCCATTTGATGCTACCATCAGCAGCTCTGTGGCAGCACAGATTATTTTTCTAAGGCCTATTCCTTCTAAAGGTTCATTCTTTATCATCACCTCATTATTACTCTTCTATAGGAGATAAAGAGAATATATCGTAAGACTTGTTTTAATTGTTATGTGTTTATATGGGATTCAATCAATGATGTAGGGTACAGGTGTGGAACTAATTATAAAGGCCACTTAGTTTTAGAACCGTTTTCTCCTTTCCTTATTTTTATTCCAAAATTTTATTCTAAATTTATATAAGTGGTATAACTTCAGCTTAAGCAAAGTTTTGGCTTGTTTTCTTGAACAAGTTACCAGTAAAGATGTATTTTGGTCATCTGTAAGACAAAATATATTTGTTCTAAAAACAACAACAGGTGGGGTGTTTACGGCGTATACTGGTTTTCTAATCAGAGATGCCTGTAGTCTCTGAAAAAGAAGGTTTGTAATGACCCTACTCAGGATTGCAATGTAAGAGGGAAGGTTTTCTTAAGACTTGTAGGAATTCTGTTTGTAAGGAAAACCTCAAGAATGTTATTTTTCTGTCACTTAAAAGTAAAATTTAATGTAGGCTGTGGTTCATAACTTCATTGAGCTTTATTTGTTATATTTCACACTGCTTTTAGCATATGCTTTTGAATTGGAGATCAGCAGAACAGGTGTTAGACAAAGTATGATAATTGCTTTCTTTGTTCATTCTAATTTAATTCAGGTTATTTACATGTGAAAGGCCTAGATGCTTTCATTTTTTTTTTTTGAGTGAAAGATAAAATACTTTTTTTTCCTCCCCCCCCAACAAGGATTATCAGAAGGTTAAGACCATCCCTTGCTGTGATGTTGTTAAAACTACTGCATTAAGCCTTTTTTTTTTTCCTGTCACATGTTAATTCAATATGAAAGGAAATCATATTACTAAGTCTTTCTCTAATACAATTGAAAAATCTTTTTCATGTATATCCAGTTGAAATTTTTTTCATTCTTCTGAGAAATGAAATATTTTTAGGGTTTTCATTCAGAGGCCATTAACGTTTCTTCCTGTCTCTTGTCGAATTGATGTAGGTCATAATGATTACGGTTATCAGCAACCGTCGTATCCTGAACAAGGCTACGATAGGCCTTATGAGGATTCCTCACAACATTACTACGAAGGAGGTATCTATATACCTTCACACACATACGCACAAACATTCCCTTTCCTCCCCCACCCACAACGGGAACAAAAACTCTTGCACAACATGACTTACTCCCATGCAAAGCTCTTGTAGAATACTAGTTGCTGGCTGTCTTGAAAATGGCAGGGAACCTGAAGCGTTCAGAATAATTTCTTGCAAACACCTAAAATATATAACCACAATTTGCCATTTCTAACAACAGTAAAATGACTAAAACACTCTAGAGATTTTTTTTTTTACCTCAGTGGAAATTTTTATTTAAGCGTAAATTTGTTGGTTCAGTTGTATCTTTTGTGTGTGTATATATTTTGTATAATTATAGTGCCGTTAGGAAACAGCTTGCTGATCTTGTGTAGCTAGTCTGTGCTCTTGTAGCTGTCCTTAATTTTGTCTTTTTTTTTTTTTTGTTTAGCATAGTCATGGTCTTATGACTGGACTGTGATGTTCCAGTAAATGTAATGCTCGTTTGGCAGAGATGCTGAAAACGCTGCAGTTCAACTTTGCAAATTTGGCTTTAACTGCAGTTTGTTTGGCCGAATTCCTTCTGTTTGGTTTGAGTTTTCTTTGTTTTGTTCTGTTTTTGGAGTCAATATTGCATTTTAATTTTGTTCTTGTGTTATTGGCTGTGCATTTTAGAAGGGGAAAAAAGATAAATGAAGTAGGTATTTTTATAAGGTTTTGCTTTCTTACAATCATCTTACAGGAAACTCGCAATATGGTCAGCAGCAAGATGCATATCAAGGACCACCTCAACAGCAGGGTTATCCACCACAGCAGCAGCAATATCCAGGCCAACAAGGCTATCCAGGACAACAGCAGGGTTATGGTAAGAGCCTGAAGACACAGATCATAATCACAGAACAGACTGAGGGAGGTCTCATCCATTATTCCATCCCTGTCTTACTGGGTTGAAAGGCCAGGCTGGTGCAAAAAAAGCTGTATGCTGGCAGTTTCACTGGGCCAAAACAAGAAGGGGTAGAAGACAGCGTCTCTTGGGAAGTAGATCTTTTGGTAATCTGGGACAGTCTGGTAGCACAGAAAAGGAGGGTGTCTAGAACGCATAGCATGTGTCTCTAAATTTGAAAGGCTCACTCTGCTCTTTTGTCCTCTGTAGCCATTTACATGCTTTCATCCTTGGATTTGCCATTTAGAAGAGAATCTTTTAAAAACTGGTTTAAAATTTTATCCAGCGTGCACGAATCATTCTTTTGAGATTCTTGTACTGATCAGTAAGGAAATGAACATAAGCATTACCAGTGTGGCTTTTGAGAGTTTGTCTTTATAAATTCGCACTAGTAGTGCAAACTTTCTGATGTATCGCAGGAATGAGAAATCTTCCACCACAAATGACCACCAAAAACGTGGTCTTTGGATTCAAGGAAAACCTCCCAGACAGGAAAATTAAAAGTAGTAGTATGTAATTTTTGTGTATTACCTCTGAAAACTTGAGGTCAGAAAAGCATAGTGAATTTTTTTGTTTGTTTGGCTTGCATATTGTAAAGCTGTAAATATTTATCTCATAAAAAGGAATCTCAGAAATCTAATTCCATGTATCTTACCTTTAAGCTCCTAAGCAGCTAAAAGTGCTAAAACTTCCAGCACGGTGGGTATGCGAGGAAGTGCGTGGCTGACTTGTTTACCACATAGATAAATGCCAGATTTGCATTAAATCCAGTTATGTTGAGACCAGGTTAGGTTTTAAAGGGATCCACCGGGCCTTAGAAAGTTTTCTCCTTTTGGAAGTTAAGGATGAATTAATAGTTCTAAAATAATACTCATGTGCTTAAATTCTTAATGTAACATAGGAACATAATGAAGATCAGAGTGAATGTCCATCTAGCTCACTAGTCTGACTTTTGTAAGTAAAGAAATAAAATCTGGCTTACTCTGAAAATTTAGGTTAAGAAATACTGGTGGAAAGGAATGAATAAGTCTGTTGGAGCAATTTGTGTACCCAAATAGCATACTCCTCAATTCCTGTTTTTTAGCAGAATATATAACTAGAGTTCTATTTTTATTTTATAAAATCAGTCACTGAATATTTAGAATTTGACTATAAAGAATTACCATGGATAAATAAACCCAAGTTTCATTTGTCAGATGAACACAGCACTTTTTAGGATGTAGTGTCCTTGCCCGATTTTAATATTTAATTGCTTTCTAATTTGCAAAAATAAATCAGGATCCCAGTCATTATTATCCATCTTTAAGGTTTGCTTCCACTGTAGAAGGCTGCAACTGCACAGCTCCAGGGGATTTGAGGCCTGAGGAGAATGGCAGTAGCCTGTGGAGCTGTTCTTCTCCAGGTTATCTTTTTGACTGTCTCATAGATCTGAAATTACTGAAAGAGTTACATACGGGCTGATGTCATCTTAATGTCTAGTGCCTGTAGCTGAAACTAGCCCTCTCTAGCACTGAATCACACTATCGCTAAAACACATCTGTTTCTTCTGAGGGAGGAGTGGAGAAGAAAGTGTTAGTTTGTTTAAAAGAAAGAACTTCTCAAGAGTTGCACTTTCCAGTGCCTGAAGGGGCCTACAAGGAAGCTGGGGGGGGACTTTTTACAAGGGCCTGTAGTGACAGAACAAGGGGTAACGGGTTTAAATTGAAAGTGGGGAGATTTAGATTGGATATCAGGAAGAAGTTCTTCACGGAGAGGGTGGTGAGGCACTGGAACAGGTTGCCCAGAGAAGCTGTGGATGCCCCATCCCTGGCTGTCTTCAAGGCCAGGCTGCATAGAATAAAATCACTGGGTTGGAAAAGACCTTAGAGATCATCAAGTCCAACCGTATCTGTCCTCCACTAAAGCATATCTCTCAGCACCTCATCCACCCGTCTCTTAAACACATCCAGGGATGGTGACTCCACCACCCCCACCTGGATGAGGCTTTGAGCAACCTGGTCTAGTGGAGGTTGTCCCTGCCCATAGCAGGGGGGTTGGAACTAGATGGTCTTTAAGTTCCCTTCCAACCCAAACTGTTCCTTGATTCCTGAATGCCAGTTTTAAGGGGTGGTGTTGAAAAAGCTAACTTTGATCCTCAGCAAGAGATCCATATGGAACATCACTGAAATACCCAGTACACTGTCTCTTCCAAGGTAGCAAGGGATGAGGTTAATCCTGTTTGGAACGTGGCTGCGCTGCCTGATGGTGGTAACATGCAGCTTCCAACGGTAGACAGGCTGAAAGAGTTTGTGTTGACAAAAGAACGGCTTCCTTTTACAGCTAAAAAAAGCTGGAGCCAAAATGGGATTTCCACCACCCCACCCCACTCCACCCCCCTGCCACGGCCCCCAACTGACTGGAAAGTTAAGATGACCAGAGGAATCTGGAGTAGAGGGTGCTTTGTTTTGCATCCCACAATAGCATTTACTGCTTGCCACATCTCGCGTTTTAGGCATGTAACGTCTTGCCTGACATCCCGTTTGCGACTGCACGCTGTGGTGCGAGAACTGACCTTCTGGCAGCACAGCGCTGCTCGTCTTTTCAAAAGGTCCAAATGCTAAACACAGCTTATCATCTGGTTTCTCCTGGCATTGTAAACTTCTGGAACAGGAGCAGTGTACAGCAGGAGGAGAGTGTGCCTCCCCAAATCCTGGATAGTGCTCATGGTTATGGTTTGTCATTTCTTGCCTTGTTCTTCCCTGTCCTATGACCTCATGGGTGGAATTACATGCGTCAGTAAGAAATAACAAATATATAAATACAAATAAATGTCTCTGTGGTTGGAGGATGGGCCCCATCACATAAGGTGCTTTCCAGGGTCAGAGGAGGACCACTGATCCCTGGTATGTTTTTAGATAGGAAAAGACCTAATTATGCAGTAGTGATACTTCTTATTTCAATTCAGTGCTTTTATCATTCTTGTCTTCCTAACACCTTAAGCAATCTTTTTTTTTTTTTTTTAATTTACATTTTAATCATCTCCAGGCCCCTCCCAGAGTGGGCCAGGACCTCAGTATCCCAATTACCCACAAGGTCAAGGCCAGCAGTATGGGGGATACAGACCCACACAGCCTGGGCCACCACAGCCACCGCAGCAGAGGCCTTACGGATACGACCAGGTATTCTTTCATTTGATGAGAAAATTGTGAACCTTACACACTCATTTGATAATCGTGGTTTCTTGTGGACGTTTAAACGAGTGAATTTGAGGACATGGCCTCTCAGATGTGTATGTACAATTCTCATGGATTTTATTTCCAGGTGAGTTACCCAGAATCATTTGGCTGGAGGTGTGATTAGTCATTCTCTTCTGAGTTTGCAAAGTTTTAGTGCAATTTGGCAAAGTGAGGCACTCCAGGCAGTATCTTTGGACCCTAAAAATTAAGGTGATCTGTGTCATAGCCTCGTGGTGAATGACTAATGTGAAAGATGAGGTTCCTAAGTCTCATGGTGGACTATTCTTCATTACTACTTTGCAGTAAAAGTGATTTGATTTTCCACAAACACAAGTCCAGTAATCCTCCTCTCCAGCTGCAGAACCACCTCAGGTGCGCAGCTGAAGTCCCTCTACTGCAGAGCTGTGGGGGGAGACACCAAGTCTGTTTGTTGCGCAGATTTTCTCTGAGCAGTATAAAGGAACACTGAACGTGGGAAAGAAGGGACCTGAAAAGTCAACTGCTTCTTTCCTGTCACTACTAAGATAAGTTTAAAACAAACAGACAAGAGCCACCGAAACTCTAGGCTGGAGTTGTAGTGGAGGACTCCTCTAAAAAAAACTGTCTTCTAATTAAAGGGTGAAGTGGAGGTTTTCTTTCTGTAGGAAGTACAAAACTGTAAAGATCTAATCTTTACAATATGGATCGTTGAGAAATGTCATTAAAATGTACACTGTTACTTTCCTCGGCATAGATAATATGGAGAGAGACTAAATATACGTTATCATCAAGTTCAGGTTCTGGTGTGTGTGTAAAATCCTGGTATGTCAGTAAAAGATCAGTTAAACTTAAGAACAACTTTCCCTTGGAAGTGAGAAAAGCCACAGTTGCCTGCATTTTTAAGGAGAACAGTTGGCTTGCTTTCTACGGAATTTGGAAAAGACAAGGAAGAAGGAACAAACTCAGTGTGGTAGTTTAGAGTTGCAATTGCTCTCTAATTATTTAAGAGATAACAGAATGCTCATGCACTGAACTAACAGTTTCCTCCTGCAGATAGTAAGCTAGAGGAAAATGCCTTGCTTGTGGCAAGTACAGGGTCAAGGAAACTTAATCTGTTTCAGTTTCTTCCAGCTTTCTTTGCAGTAGAAGTGGTTAACCCTCTCTGCAGATAGGCTCTACTCCTCCAGTTTGTGCAATCTGAGTTCCTCTGGGAAACTCAATTATAGAAGACCTCTCCACTCCTTCATACTATCCATTCCCAAAGGAAATGTGCTGCTGAAATTCTCATCTGGCAGCTGTTCTGAAACTCTTCTTTCCGACTGATTGTCGTATTACAGTGGCAAAAACGGGCTTTGCAACATAAAACTGGAATTTCAAATACTGCCTTAGTGCGTTGGTACTTAACATGGATTGGCGGCGGGATGCAGTTTGGAGAATGTTCACTTTGTAGCACACACTACTTAGTTTCTGCAAACCTTGAACCCTGTGGTGATGGATCGTGGTAAGCACGTAGCATTGATGCTTTCACCTCTGCCCTCTGCTGCAGTACATGACATTCTGTCAAAAGAAATGGAGAATATCAATAAGGGTAATAATTCCGTGTATCGGATCTAGGGAATAATTGATTCTCATAGGATATGTTGACTGGTTCTTTATGGTCACTGGGATGTGCCTTGATTTTTGAGATACATATATCAGTCCATTCTGTGATGCTTGATAATGTGAATATTTTTAGGTATCTCTGAAAGCAGGTTCGTTTACTAAATCACTTTGAATTTAGGTGGCCTTGTGTTTTTGAAATTGTTTTCAAAGTTTAGGTGGGAAGGAATTCCAGTCTTTTATTTCTGACAGTGCTCTGCAAATTTCACAGCAGTCTCTTAAATTTAAGGATAAGGAGGATCCTGGCTTTAAATGCATATCATCTGTCTTTTATATAAAAACACAAAGGATTTTTAGTGAGATGAAACTCTACCACTTACTCATTCTGGTTTATAATTCATTGTTATTTATTTCCACCTTTTAATATCATAGTTTGTTTGGATGGTCTTGTGATTTCAGCTTTCAATACTGGAAAATATGCCTTGTGTTCTAATTGTATATTTTGAATTTCTTTTTTAGGGTCAGTATGGAAATTACCAACAGTGAAAAAGTACTCACATTCCGGTAGGCTATGTCTATTAGCAGCCATATTGTCTCCTCAGCACTGTGGACATCTTCCTGAGATGAGAACCTCTCATTCCACCTAGCTTTTGGGAAAATCTTGTGGCTGTTTTATGGTATACAGTCTTTATGGGTTAACTGTTAAAAGACTGTAGATTCTCAGCAACTGATTTCACATCTCTACTCTAGATGGCAATATTGGACAGAAAATAAGTGACATAACAATTTGCAGTGAGTTGAGAACTGTATGTCAAATAGACTGTTACAGACCGAAAGGTGCGAACAGCTTTGTATGTTTATGAAGGTTATGGGAATTTAATATTTTTTCCACAGATTTTTTTTGTAGGGGGAAAGGGGAAATGCACACTTTTTACAGCAGCAATATTTTGTATATTATGTTTTTCATGCGGTGAATATGCAAGACAGTACACTACTCGCTGAGCAGGATGAGAAATCTACTGTTAAAAATAGGCTGGGGTATGATAAGTGCTTGATTGTACAAGTCTCAATGGTGTACAATAAAAATAACGGTGAAAAAAGATGGGGAGTATCATACGTCACTGATAGGTTCATGTACAAAGAATAATAATCCCAGTTACCTAAATGGGAACATAATTAAGGACAGTATAATATAGCCTTGTGCAAAGATTAATTTTTTAAGCTTTACAGTTTTTCTGAGTGAAGCAGTTTTGTAAAAATTGTTTCTAACATAGTTTGACAACTTTCTGCAACATTTTTTGGGTAACAAGATAAATGTTTGGGTTTTATTTCTCAAGTGTTTTGTCACAGCTTTGCATAAGCGAGCTGTAATCCCTCTTAATAATTGCAATAACAAAGAAAATGACAAGTGTTAATTTTACTTGGCTTGAATATGCAAAGAACTTGGAAGAAGAATATGGAGGACAGGACTGTATTGTATAAGTGTATTTTAACCTTTAGTTGAATAATTTGTATGTATCAAAATAGCCTAGAAGACCTTGTAAAACCTATCTAAACTTTCCTAACTGGGAGTTAATATCTTTAGAAAGGGGGCAGTTTTTTGCGTGTCCATTTTTCTTACTGGTTATGATGAGACCAAGGGATGTTTTATAACATCGAATATAAAACCTGTTGGTGAGGTAAATGCCAAATTTTGTTTCTGAACTGCGTTAATGCTTATAGCGTTGCATGTGAGGTAGAGGCAGCACCTTGATCAATAGCATAGTACACACAAAAGTTGGTTTGACGCTGTCCTGAAACTGTGTATTGGGCAAATAAATGGATAATCTGTTGTGCAGGAATATAGGCGTTCAAGAATTCCTGGAAACTTTTATAAAGGACAAAACCTAAAATTAGCCAAGGAGTAAAATATTTTGGTTTTTTTCAGTTGGTGATCACGAGGGGGGGGAGAAGAAAAACATCTGATGTTCATAATGTGTATGACATTTGTTCATAATTTTTAAAGGGAAAACAGTTTTCTTAAAGTCTACAAAAAATACACATCAAGGTTTGAACAGGTATGGCATGAGGAACATTATTATGAATGAAATGCTTGTAGGTTCTGTGCCAATTTGCCACCACTGTGTACTTCATTGCTATTTAAAACTGTACTCCATCAATTCTAATGGAAGAATAAATTATTTGTGATTTTAATTTTCTCATTTGTTTCTTTAAATTAGATCCCTATCACTCTGATGTCTCATCTGGAGACGCTGCTGTGGGTTTTTATTTTATAGAAGTTTGGCCAGAATAACCAAACTGTATTTGCATTCTAGGACTTTATCAAAATTCTCTTGCCATAGCCAAGTTAATTAGAATTAACTGTTCGGTAATCAGCCTGTTGTGTAGGTTGTTTGTTTGTTGCGAAATTCTTCCTCTGAAAATGAAGGTCCGGGAGGCTATAATCAAGATGACTGAATTAGATAAATGAGTTGAGGAGGCAAAAATGTGTTGAACCCAACCTGGTGTAGATACGTTGTCTCATTTGAAATAAGCTCAACTGACATTAAGAAATAATTTGTCTTGCCAGCCCATCTTCTGTTGTCTTATTCTCCTTTTTAATGGAAACTAAAATTGCAATTTTAATAAGCAGAATTTCCTCCAGGGTTTCCCTCCTAGAGACTACTGCATTTGCAAGGTTTAATTGTTTTATAACGGTCCTGTTTCGTAAAACTTTTTAATTGGTGGTGACAAAAATTACCTTATTCCTCTGATACTATGCCAGGAGAACAACTTGAGAGGAGGTAGCTCCGTGCAAAAGTGTTGCTGCTAAAATTATATAAGAACCAGTTTTCCCTAAACAAAAGAGACGCAGGGATGCATAACAGGACCAGGACGAAATAGCAAGATACAAGGTTCTTTTTAGCTAGTGTGCTTTATTAAATAAAACCCAGCCAGTAGCAGACTGGTAAAAAAGGTGTTAGATTTGGCATTTTACCTGTAGAATGTAGAAAATAAGACCTAAGAGGGGGACTGACACAGGAAATCACGTATGTGAACAGAAATGATACAAATGTTCAGAGACTAAAGAGGAGGAGTCAATGAATTAAGTGACTTCTGGTTATCATGGCACTGTGATTTTCGCCATCGTATTTTGTTCATCCTTTTCAGATTGTTTTTATTTCGCTTTCTGCTCTGGGGGTGACTTGTAGAAGGGAGAAGCTGGCTCACAGTACCCAGTGAAATTGGCTTCACAATGTTGTAACAAAAACATCCTGCTTTGGGTTTTATATCTAAAACTTTAAATGTTTAAAGTAACTGATCATTTTTGAGAAAATACCCCTGATTAGAGGGGCAAGGACTAGAGTGCAAAAATATCATTGTACTTCTACAGTTCTTACCACAGTGGATGCTGAAACACTTCAATGTGATTTAAAAAAATAAAATCAGATTTTAGATATTAAGAAATGTGAAAATACTTTAAATTTACAAAATGAAGAGAAATTGTTACATCAGCAAGTACAGGTGCAGTTCAGCCAAAAGCACTGAAGAAGCTAAAAAAAAAAAAAAAAAAGGCTGCTTTTCTGACATGGGCAGCTGATGTATCGTAAAATAGAAGGATAAGGATGAAATCCTGTGAAATGAACCCAAACAAACTTTCTGAAGTGAATAGATAACTGGATAAAATAGTAAGTTAAATTCTAAAAAGATTTTCAATAGTGTATTAAATGATACGGTTTAAAAAAAAGAATACCAAAACGTGCCCCTTAATCTGCTGGAGTTACTGTAAAAAGATAGTGTAATCTGATAGAATTGATCTTTATTCGTGTGTTCGCAGAGCCTGAAGTTCTCTGAGAAGCTGCTACCGTAAGAATAAAGTATGCAGTAAGGTGGGCTGTGAAGCACTGGAAGTAGGATGTGGGGGAATAGGAATAAATGCTAAATATTAAAAAAAATTATGGGGATTGATAGCAAATTATGCCAGAGCTCTATGGGGACCACTGATTCACACTTTGCAAATGAATTGGAGAAAAGAATACAGGTTCCAGTAGGTAAATGAGGTGGAAATGGTGTGACTTGGATTACACAGGGCTTAAAACTTTGTGGAAATGCAAAGACCGTCACAGAACTGCAGGAATGGCTGATGTTTACAAATACAGGGAAGTAGCTAGGGGGTGGGATAATACCAATGTACTCATGGCAGGGGAGCAACTGACGGGAGAAATTCTGCGGTGGGTGCAGTAAAACTTGTGTTCCGTGGGTGTGGGCAGTCATGGGAACGAGCACAGTTAGGCTGGATCAGAGGAGACGGTTTATTGTGGAAGAATGGCAGACCTCGTGCTTCGCAGCTTTATGCAGTGTGCTGGAGTTCGGAAGGTATTTCTCTTGGTGTCTTGACAGTGTTATTGGGAGCGTGTTTAGTTTTCTTATCGTAACTTTTAGAACCTCACTCCACGAAACCTGGAAGTTGGCATTATTAGCAACAGACTGTTGGTTTAGGTTACAGAATTGAACTGAAATGTAGAGCTGGAGTGGCCGTGTTCTCTTCAGAAAGTCGTCTTTTGTCCTCCACTATGGTGAAATATATCACCCACGTAATACAGTTGGTGAAACAGTTACGTTTTAAGCTAGCAAGGTGCTTTCATTCAATTCACATCAGCTTCCTGTGGCACAGTTTTTCAAGAGGAATTCTTGACTCATCTAGCAGAATGTGTGATTTTCTTATACCTGAGAGATGATCGTTTCAGAAGAGTTTGTTTCCAGGTTGTCATTGTTAATATTTTCAGGTTTCCCCTTGCTGTTCTTTACTTGGTCTTTAAGAAACGAAGGTAGTTCAGTACGTCAGCAACTCCGCATGTTTCCACCTCAGGATTCTGGTGGGGAAGAGACGAGGGGCTGGGAAGGAGGCTGCTGGAACAGCTGGAGTTATTAGTCCGTGAGCTCTTCAGAGCACCGCGTTACATTCTCTGGCCTTGACGCTTTTTAAACACGTGGCGTAGGTGAACTGCCATATAAATGCTTTTGCATTCTGGTCCATAATTTTCATTTAATCTAAAAGTTAATTTTACACAGCATAAATTCTGATCACCTGCTGCAGTTGGTGTTGCCAAAAGTGTGCTGGCATCTTGACACGGGTCCGTTACAGACGCTTGTGTAGAAAAATGCCATTTGCTAGGGGAGGCTTGCTAGAAATACACATTTTGTTTTTATGAAATTAAGTTGCATCAATTATACCTCCTGACCTTTTTAGCAACCTTTGCCTCAAGTGAAGAATTTTTGGTCTCCAGTGTTAAGTTGCCTTCTTTACATTTTCCCACTAACAGCTTTTGTCCTGGAGCCTTCAGGACTTCCTTTCCACAGGGCTGCAGTATAAACAAGTGCTACAGTTCTCAGAGTTTCTATCTAAATACTGATTGCAGCCTTACTTGTTAAGGTAGTTTCTTGCTGAGTTGATATGGTGTCAGTCTCAAAGGTTAATGGTCTGTGTATCTCTTTCTCTCTTGCCCCCTCCCCTCCCCCCCAGCAATGGTACAGGTCATTCCAGAGGTAGCTCTTCTTATTTGCGCACCTAGATAACTACGTCTATCTGCTCCCAAGGCTGTTTTCCAGCTTGGATAAAATGTTTGCCTTCTATCATGAAATACCTTATTTAGAAAATTTCTGTTGGGGAAAAAGGGTTCCGTTTATAAGCACCAGAGAGCCTGCCCATCTGAGTATGACAGAGTATTTGCTGGCTTGGCACTGGTTTCGGATTTATCACCTGCTTCAGCATCCGTGTGGGCTCAGGAAAGGCAAGAACATAGCAAAACCGAGGCAGGCGTGAAGGTTTCTGTTGTATCCCCTTATGTTTTGGGCTGATGGCAAGTGGTCGATTTTAGGACTGTAAATAGATGCTCGGTTGGTACTTGGGTATCTGTAACTGCTACGAGTACCCTGTGTGCATGCTGACATGTCTAATGGACCCTGGTGTTCATTGGTGCTTGTTACGACTGTCGCTGCGCTCTCAGGGCAGCGCTGACACTTTATTACCTCAGAAACTTAGTTCTATATGGCCTGTATTATTTCCCCTTCAATTTCACACTGCTTTGTGTTTTCCTGCTCTCCGGCAGCAACCAAGG